AAACCGCCGATGCCGCAAAGATCGATGTCTCAGCGATCGGGCTCTCTGTCGCGCCAGTCAACCGCCGATTCGGACACAGACAGCGCTCTCGGCTCGACCGTAGGACCGGAACCGATTAGGAAGAGCCCTAGAGAGTACATAATTCCTATCGCGGTGGAGGGCGGCGGTTACGTTACTCCCAGATCGGGTAGTCTGGAGCCGGAAAGCAAGACCAGCACGCCGACAAGCGCGAATCCACCGAGATCGCGGTTCGGTAGACCGAGGAGAATGAGTTCGCTTTTATCGGATGCCAGCGAGGACGAGTCTCCTTTCTCCTCGTTACACGGGTAAATAAAATATTTCGCTCTTTAATTCGTCAAATTTGAATCTGTAATGTGAATTCGTGCGCTACATGACGATTGCATTATTTTTCACAAAAATAATATAGTACGGTTTCAACCTTTCAAAGTATTGATTTCTTTACGTAGAAACGTATATAGCTGCATCTTTTTCTATTTTAAGTCTTGCGATAAAATTTATATTTTAAGATTCAGCTTTAGATCTAGAAAATATATAGATCTCTCTCTTTGAGTTAAATATATTATAATTACAATTAATTATAGTTTCTAAATATGTAAAACTCGTATAATCTCGAAATTTGATTTGCATTATACTCTTTTCGAATTGTGTTTATCTAATATCGAGAAATGGGCTCTTAAAATTTTGACAGCTTTGTTAATCAAATATAATTTCGGCTTCTTGTCGAAATATGCGATCCTGATAACTTTAACAATTTTTTGCGTATTACAATTTTTATCATTTTCTATCATTCTAACTTACATTTATGTGTTAATCGTGTTTCTTAATTAAAATAAAATTTACGTTGATCACATCATGTTAGGCTGGAATTTGCATTAAGTTGAGATTCGAGCAAATTTAAATTGTAGTCTTCCTTTCGACAGCGAGGATCTGTTGCAAAGGCACATGCACCGGTTGAGAAGCTCGCGGCCGTCCAGACAGCCGTCCGAGCACGCTGACAGCCTGTCGTCCGGCGAGGACGACGATGACGACGGCTTTGAATTACTAACAGCCGAGAACTTGTTCTCGACACTGCTGTCGAGAGTGCGAAGTCTCACGCAGCGGCTCAACGTCGACGATAATCGAGCCGGCGGTTTTCCGAGCAGTAGACTGTTCGGCAGGCTCAGCTCCCAGCCGTCGCAAGCGTTTTGGGGCCTCAATAAGCCGTTGTCCAGGTAAATACGCTATCTCCCGTTTCGCGTATCACCTCCAGTTGTAATTAACAAACGTATCGAGGACCCAGTGCTGAGATCTCGATATAAAAACTTTTATCAACAACTTGTTTATTAATAATCATGATGGTTTTGTAATGATAATAATGTTTTTGTGCTTGTTCTGTGCAAGCTACGAGAGCTATGTCGAAACACGGACCGTGACTACGTGAGTCCAATTGTTCAGAAAGAGATTGTAATAGAACCGTAGTGTGTACGCGCGCCTGATACTAGCCGAGAGTACAAGTAGTAGGGACCGTCCGCAGTTGTTTAGTAAAGCGAGACACGCAGAAAATTCGCAATTGGACACACGCTGCAAGCAGGTTAAAAGAATAAACTAGATCGTGCACTCACATGCGTGTACACGTTTGCGCCGGCCTGATTTCGCCCCTCGGCTTAACCATGCGCCACCACGAAAGCACTGTTGTGAAAATAAACAAGCGACCCGAAATACCTGTCGATCGACCCGCATCGGCTGTGCATCCTTCGCTTCTTTGCCAAACACCCTCTTCTCGCCAGTACTCTGATTTCGCCTCCCAGATTTGTTTTGCGCACTCGCAAGATTTCTCGTACAGAATGCGCTCGATATTCTTCCCTTCCCACGCTCTTCTTTTCTCGATATTCGAATATTCACAGGAAAGATAGTTTTATATGCACACAACACCGAGTAACATTGTCGTCGTTCTCTTGTGCGTACAGGCGGCTCTCGGAATCGCAGTTCAAACATTCTCTGAGCCGCGACGCGGACGTGTTCTCCAAGCGGGACTCCGCCAGCACCTCGAATCCAGGAACGCCCAACAGTCCCGGATCGCGCAGCACACCTTCCCGGGACAGCGTCTTCGAGATCGGCAGCAATACATTGCCAAGAGGTGAGAGAGTGTAGTACGATTATTCCGCAATTTACCGTAGCACCTTGCGCGACGACATCGAACCGCGCGTACAAGTGAAAATTGGCATTTAAAATTGATTCAATGAAAATCAATCGCTTTAAATGATATCTCCTCCGTACGATCTGTGAATTGTCGTCGATCGAGGTCCACTGCAAATTGTACATATGAATATTTCATGTTGTAGAGTGTTGACACGCGTCTTCACAGAAGCTGAAGTTTTTGCAAACTTTTTTTTCATTTTATCTGCATTTTATTCTCCGACGTGTTAGATATGAATCGACAATTTCAAGTGATTACTCGTAGCGTTAATTTAAAGAATTAATGCCAGATGGACGAAGAGCTTCTGTTAAATCGCCGTGGTCATCGTGCTATTTTGTCACTGGTTAAACTTATTAGCCTTGTGAGAAAATGCTGGATGGTATTCAGTATGCATCTCCTAGTACCTAGCTGTTGTCGAGTCGTTGATAGACAGAGCACATCTTTTTTGTTTACTTTTACCTATTGTTTCTCTTTCTCTTTTTGTTACTTTCTTTCCGACAAGTTAATTTTTTTGATTTCTTGCCTGACGATGTTTTGCAACTTTTGATACTAACACACTATAGATTAATTGAACGGTTCATGTTCGGCACAGATGGGTATGTATATTCGCAATTCATCTCTTTGTGCAGATTTTATCATTCTTTTTTTCCATTCAGTTCGAATGTTTAATTTGTGTCAAGTAACCAAAATTACGTACAGTAATTGGAAGATTAATTTTTCAATAATTTATCGATACTTGCAGATGTAACGACGACCACTTGCGACAAAAGTAGATAAAGAAATGATTCAGCACTTTATATAGTTTTTAAACACACCGATATAACTGATAAAGAGTAATAAATTTTTTATAATTATTTTTCGATCCCGCATTCTTAAAAGCATGTCTGCACGATTCCTTTGGGACAACCTACCTACTTAATCTTATTTTATTTATTTATTTATTTGTTTATAGTGAAAAACTCACTTTTTTTATAAGTTTTTTTTTTCTTATCAAAATTAATTCGAAGTTTCAGGTTTTTTGCAAGCATTTGCAAGTTAATACGAAATACACATATGTGTTTGAACATTAAAATAGCTAATAAAATAACAAATAGGTATAAAATTTCTCCTCGAGTAAGTCAAAGAGACATAGAACAAATTGCTCACTTTGCCTGACATAGAACCTCGTAATATATGCCATAGCTGTTGCAATGCACTGCTGCTGTTGATTTCTATTATCTCATAACATCGTAGTAGCAGTTTCTTCCTTTTTTTTTTATTTACCTAGTGTACACTAAATTTTTGGAGCATGACTGTACACATATCCATATACAATATACAACAAAAGTCTCAATTCCACTATCCAAAGACAGAGATCCATATTTAATTCAAGTTTTCATGCATTAATTTACGTCTATCGTCGACTCTTCAATCAGTAATTCGAATAATTGTTTGTTAGCACTCTCGTACAGATCGGAATTGCAATAAGTATTTTACGATTCTTCGGCTTAATCGGCTTCTGGCTGACTCAACGACAGGAAGTCTTCTTTTTATTTGTTAATAAAAAAATCTAATATTTGTTTTATATTATTCTCAATTTTTTTTTACTAAAAGACAGCATAAAAATAAAAAAAACAAATAAAATGAATAAATTTCTGAACAATTACAACTTCTGTTATAAATAAATTTCTGAAAAATTATAACTTCTCTTATAAAGTATAAAGGAGAAAAGACGCAAGGAAGACCCTGTTCAAATGTTAAAATCTCGGTGGCATATCGCATTCGGCCAGTAAGTTAGCAAACAATTATTACTCGAAAATGCATTCTAGAAAAAAAATTCTACAGTGGCGTCGTTTTGTGACACGTTGATTGACGGTTTTCTTGACGGTTGTTGCAGCGACCGTGCGAGTGACTCTACGTAGGCGGGCTGACGGTAATCCCCAGTAGACAAACCAAGTTAGGTACTAAATATCTGTATGCCTAATTCAAAGCGAATGGTGACACCAGTAAAGTCACGTTACACGCAGTCTCATTATATCGAGAAAAAAAACCGAAAAGAGAGGGAGAGAGAGAGAGAGAAAAAAAAGAAAAGAAAATCTTTCGCCGTTCGGTCACGCACACTCGTCCGACGTCCTTTCTCGAGCGTGTACTTCGTCAATCTGCCTGATGTTTAGACCGCATTGAGTCTGTGATCGCAGCGATGAGATCGCCCGGCAAAACAGTACAATTTCCATCACGGCGGGAAGACATTTGGACATTCGCATTCTCGCATTACGATGATCGATAGCTGTACAACGTACGACGCTCGGAAACAAATATTATACACTTCTGACACCTGTGCGTTTTTTTTTTTTTCCGATGAGACCAGACATCCTGTTTCGCGAGTTCCCCCCCGGGTTATCTTTGGTATGATTTATTCCTGAGTGTACAGAAACATATGTAAATATATTTACGTGGAGTAATATATAAAATAAAGCGACACACGACGATGCCGATTGAACCGCACGCTGAACCGATGATGCACAGTTTTCTGCGCAAAATCAATCGCAAGCTCGAAAGCTTCAACTTACGACAATTGCAAGTGTGGTATCGCGCAGCGTGTGGAATAAATCATACCGAAACCTGCTCGCGAAAATCGTTGATAGATAAGTTATTTGTTGCCATGTTTAAAGAAAAAAACGAGAATAACTTTGTTATACGAGAGAGAGAGAGAGAAAGAGAGAGAGTTTTCTATGTGACATTGTTAGCGACGTATTTGAAAGAAGAGAAAAACGAAAAAAAAAAAGATGAAAGTGATTGTATACGTGCAAGCGGAAGCTAACCCTTGTCTGAGATGGCTGATATTTGTTGTGTTTTTAAGAGTTTAAATAACAGCGTTTTTATTACTTCACATTGTCTCCGCATGCTTTGATAATGCATATATATATATAAATATATTTATATATATTGTATTTAATATATTATCCACTGTGCACACTACTTCCTTGTTCGGAGTCTACTCATTTAACACATTGTGATTTAGGAGCGCATTAAGAGTGTGATATAAATATATATATATATATATTTATTTTACGAGATTGAGATTATTGCCAATCGATTTGTTACTCGAGATCCATACTTGTTTTCCCCAGATCCGCGAGTCTTTTACTTTTGCATGGTGTCTGTTAAATGAGTACGTAGCTCTACAATTTTCTGTATTAATATCTATATATAAGGAGAGACACAGTACGCTGCTGCTGCTGCTGGTATCGTTGATGCATATTTTCAATCAGCTATTGTATACACATGTGATCTCCCTTAAAGCTAGTTCGAAAGAAAGTAAGAATCTTCCACTATTCTAAGTCATCCGATGTCGCGCCGCGACGTTCGTAGAAAGCTTCCGTGACTTGAAAATATACATCGACGCAGAAACGGAGTGCGGGCGCAATAGCTGGATCCGTTTTTTTTTTCCCCCTCCCCCTTGAGAGAAGGAACAAAATTTTAATGGGAGACAGAGAGAGAGACGTTTCGTTTTATTTATTACATTTTTCGACAGATTTTATAAGAGAGATTTATGTATGTAGAAATAAAGGAGTGTAAATTGATACGGTGGGTGAGTGCTATATTTTTTTCCGGAGATATTTCACACATCCTGCAACAGCAAGCACACAACAACAGCAACGGGAACAACAGCGTCGTTGTCCACACACACGCAGACACACGTAAACAACACGAATGTGGAATGTGCGTAGACTATATCCTGATTGCTTTCAGATAAAGTAGACCGAGTGCACGAGGAGGCGGGCGTAGAAGCGGAGACGACGCCGCAGATCAGGCGGGAATCACTGGAGCAGAGTTTCACTCCTAGCCTGGCGCGTCGGCTGAGCAGGCAGTTCATCGAGCAGACCCGCCAGTCGCTACCGCGCTCGCCGTCGACGTCGCGGGACACCGGCAGGTACTATCAGTCGCCGACGCGGGAAACGCTGAGTCTGGGCGAGCTCGCGAAGCTGGCGTCCGATCAGAGCGAGTGCAGAGGCCGGTCGCTCGATCGAGGTATCAGAAGAGCCAGCAGCCTGCTGGAGGCGTCGAGCAGATTCGACAGATCGGACGTGCGTTCGCCGCGCCGGAGCATCAGTCTGTTCGACGACGACGACGACGTCGACGACAGATCGCTGCCGCCGCTGCGGCACATAATGACGCTCGGCCGGAAGTACAAGGAGTCGGGCAGACCGAGCGTTGCGGCGAGGCGGGAGAATTTTTACGGTTATAGAACGGACAAGATCCAGGAGGAGCCCGGCGACGACGCGTATCTGTCCGGCTGCAGGGAGGACGGCATCGTGGAGAACGGCTCCGCATCGGAGAGCGCGTCGCTATCCGTGTGCAACTCGAACGCCAATCTGATGGACACCAACACCACCACGTCGAGCGTGTCGGCCAACAGATCTGACGAGACCACGCCGACGGAGGAGTCCTCGTCGAATCTCGGCGACTACGCTGGCAAGCCGAATGGCGCCGGTAGCTTTGAGAGCCGGCTCCTAGCGGCGGAGAATCTCATCAAGGAGTCGAAGCTGAAGAACCTCACGCCGCAGCGCTTCAACCCGAACCTCAGCTGCAATTACAAGGACACGGACAAGTGCGACAAGGAGGCGCTGATCACAGCGGATCCGGCAGCTGGAGGCAAGAGACGCAGCTGCATCCCGAGTCTCAGACTGCGCTCAGGCTCGCTGACGAGGGAGCCGAGCACGAGCGTGGACCGCAGGAAGTCGTTCGCCGGCACGCAGGACACGCTGATCGGCAGCGCCAGTCAGGAACGCTCGATACTGAGCAAGTTCTTCCGAAGCAGTGGCAAGGAATCGGAATCGAAGGACAGCAACAAGAGCCAGAAGCCGAAGCAGCATCGCATCTCGCGCTTCCTGCGCCCGGACTTCTTCGACACACCGCGCGAGGAGAGCCAGTACGTGAAGGAGAAGGAGGCGCAGAAGGCGGCGGAGAACGAGCGGCGGAAGTCGCGTTTTATGCGACGGAAGAGCGAGAGCAAGGGCGAGCGCAAGGAGGACGAAAAGATCTGCAAGGAGCAGAAGAACGAGATAAATGCGCTGCAGAAGGACAAATTGGACAGCGCCGTCGCCGCCTCTTCCTCTTCGGACTCCAAGAACGAGGAGAGGGTCGAGCGGCAAGGCTCGAAGAGCAGCTTTCTGCATTCTCTGGAGAAGAAGCTGGAGCGATTGCGCGCCGGTGACAACGAGACGACGACTGGCCTCGCGAAGACAACGATGAACGGCGCTCCGGGCGAGCGAAAGGAGCGTGCTGCGCGCGAGTGCTCGGCACCGCCAGTAGAGTGTCCTGTGGAGTCGTCCGCTCGGGCCGAGGTGAAGCGCACGCTCAGCGTGGAGAGCGTGCCGTCGTTAAAGAACAACAAGGACGCCAAGAGCGCACCGGCCAAGAGCCGGGTAACGTCGATGTTAGGGCTGTTTCGGACGAGCGCGGACGCGAAGCAGAACGGCAACGGCCGCACGCAGAGCGCGATCATGAGCAAGCTAAAGAGGAGTCCGCCCAAGTGCGCCAAGCCGGCTGTCGAGGAGGAGGACGCCGCGACGAGCAGAATACCGACCAAGTTTGCTCGAGGTGACAATATCAAATCAACGAGGAAGACGCCGGAGGGCAAAAGATCGCCGGAGAAGACGGTGAGCGAGTGCAAGAGATCGCCGCCGAAGGAGAAATTGAAGGAATCGACCGTTAAAGATAGGAAACCTTTACTGGAAAAGCAATCGAGAGATGTTAAGAGAGCGCCGGAGAAAGTCGCGCAGTCGGACTCGTCGACTTCGTCGGATAAAACGAAACTCGAGAAATCGGAGCCGTCGCGCAAATTGCCAGACGAGTCGGAGTCGCAGCCAAAAATTGTCGACAATAAGCACGCGGAGTTTATCGTCAGTAGCGAAGACAAAAAACTTCTGAAAACCAAGAAGAACATAAGTTCTCTGAGCAAGAATGAGTCCGTTGCGAGAATCGACAAAGGCGAGGACGATAAGAAAACGAAGAAGCTGGTGAAGTCGAAGGAGAGTGCGAGCAAGGACGAAGTCGACGGCGCTAAGAAGAAGAAGATTGTGCGCGTGGTGAAAAGAGTGGTGAAGAAGTCGTCCGACAGCTCCGAGAGTAAATCCGACGAGAAGGAGAAAGCATCGAAACCGTTGATAAAGAAAAGAATCGTCATCACGAAAAAGGAGAAGAGTCCTGAAGGAACAAATGCCGCTGCGCAGATTGCGAAGGGAAACAATCCCGACGATCAGAATACCGTGAAATCGTCGAAGCAAATGGAATCAGACGTTCGAGAAACGCCATCCGCGAAGCCTGGCGATATCGAAGAGCCTGCGCGAACATCGAAAACTGATGTTACCGCAACTCGCACGACGCAGAGCAGCTCCGAGGCGAACGTGCTGTCCACCGATTTCTCGCAATCCGTATTTCAGAACGCTTCAACTTCTCAGAACGCGTCAGGCTGCAGTAAACAATCGGCGGAGCAGCAGCGACCGAGCAGGACGGGTTTGAAGCTTGATCTGTCCAAGATACCGCAACACACGTTTAGACACGCGACTCCCAAGAGAGATTCGCCCAAGTCCGGCTCGCCGAAAGTGAACGCCGGATCGCCCAAGACGGACGTTCCCGCGACGGAGAGCGACGCCGACAAGCTGATGGAGTGTCTGTCGAAGATGACGCATCACGCGAACATCACCGGCAACAAGATCATCATCGATAAGCCGCTGCGAGCGAAGGACGTCGCCGAGCTGAAGCGAGAGGTCACCGAGTGCGCCAGGATCATTGAGAACCACATCGAGTCGCGATACGATCATTCCAGTCCGCGGGACGAGATTGTCGATTCGGCCGGACCGGAAGAGGCTCAGAAGCCGAAAGAGATTACGCCAGAACCTGCCAAAGAAATCAACGATACGAACAACGCCAAGGTGGTGCCGGAAGATTGCACCAGCGAGATATTCTCGCCCGAGGAACCAGAAAGCTTCGACTCCTGGTCGATTTGCTCGGCGGACTTAAATCACAATCGCGGCGACCTGCATTCGCCCACATCGCCCTCGTATTATCTATTCGCGCGCGGTGACAGCTCGGAGTCGGTGATAGATCGTATACGAAGGCGCAGCTTCTATTCGAGATTCAACGACCGCAAGCGGCCGTCCCTGACAGCACCGCCGCCGGGGATAAGCAGCGTCACTTTGCCCAGGCGGTTCAGCTTGAATAGCACGAGGGAGAGAGAACGCAGTAGATTGTACAACTACGGTGTTCACCGAACGAGGTGAGTTAAACAGGATTCATTCTTGCTTTTGTTTCCGATGACTTTTGTATTGCAATTTAATTAAGACTCCTCATTGCAGCTATATTGAATTATGATTAAAATTATGGAATTATAATAATGAGAAATTGTGTGAATGTTTTGCAAAACAAAATTACATTGAAATAAATTAACAAGAAAATGAGAAATAGAGAAAGATAAAAACCAATTAAGAATTTCTAGCTTTGCGAAATAAATTCCTACTGATTGTTTGTATTTCGCAGATCTGACAAGAATTACAGTTTGCTCGGCGACGAAGTGTCCTGCAGGAAGTCGCCGGTCGATCGAGAAAAGTATAGCGATACGCTGAACACGTCGTCGTACGGCCATCACAGTCCGGAAGCGAGGTCCTTGTATGATCATTACGGCAGCAGCGTGCCGTCCTCCTCGCACGATTCTCTGAGGAGGTACATGAGATCGCCGACGTTGGACCTCGCTGGCGCGCGCGCCAAGTATCACAGCACGGACATCATCGCGGACAACGATCTCACGGTGTCCTACAAGAGTCCCCTGTCGAGATCGTCTCTGAACGACGCCGCGACGGATTCCTACTGCGGCAGGATCGCGTCGGCCACTCTGCCGAGGAAGTATGGCTCCACCGTCGGCGGTCTGGCGCCGAAAAGCGTGGAATACTACGAGGAAATCCTGTCGCCGAGCAACGCCGACTACTTGTCGCCGCGCGAGACTTGCCGCTCGCCGTTGCTGGACGGCTATCTAAGCAGATGCGAGAATGGATATCATAACGGCAACTTAGATCTACCGCAGTTTGGCACTGACAAGCAGAGATCCTATGCGGATAAGATGTCGAGTGCGGAGCTCGGCGAAGGGCACAGCAGACTGCTCGGTGAACAGAAAAGGTATGTTGAAACAATTTTAAGAGACAAATATTCATTCACGAAATTGAATTCCTCATCATGTCTTACTCTAATTATACACTGACTTTAAGACTCATTTATAATTTTGAACATGGATGCATAATTTCGCAAAATGTATTACCATCAATTTTTTATTTCAGATTTAACATTCGACTTTCTGCATAAAGAATTTGTTTTTTTTTTCAGAAACATAATGCCACGTTTCAGCGAGACGAGGGATTTATCGTCGACAGCTGCGGATATTCTGTCGAATATATCTGTGACCGAGCAGAACTGATGCAACTTAAACGGAAGATAATTTTGTAAAGATAGCCGAACGCGTTTTACTATTATATAACGCGCGATTTTATATTACAGATTTACAATATTTAATGAATCGCAATCAAAAAAAGTGCCTCGCGCTTCTTTATCACGATGATGAAATCGTCGCGATGGCAGTAAGGGCGAAACGAAGAACGCTATTAGACATCGAATGTATCATTCTACTAAAGTATACGCTTGAAATTTTAGAATTACTATTTTAGGTACATCGTAATCCTTTCCGAACCAGCGATTGCTGAATATCATTTATAAATTTGTTTTTACAAGAAATGGCGATTTTAGATTTTTTTTTAATTTGTGGATCGGAAAGGATTATAATAAAAAAAGAGAAAGACACGAGAGAAGAAATTTGTTTCTCTGCGTAAGAATTTATTTTGGAAAATTATTTTTAAGCCTGTTCGATAGCGAGAAGTGATCGCGTTGACATTTGTCCAGAGTCTGCGGACGAAGAGTACTATTTGCTCCAATATTTATAGAAATATAAATATAAAGAGCGGCAGAGATCTAGCATCATAGTTATCGCAAAGATACGGAAGAATCTCGCTGGTTTTGACGTCATTCATTTTTCATCGGCCTAACTCGCGTTCGAAAGTGTCAACTGCTTTAACGAATTTAGATAGTGTGTACGTAGCTCTGGTTTCTTTTTTTTTTTTTCTTGAAAAATATCAGGTATTCGTCAGTTTATCTTTTGCTATAATGATGTTCATAAGTGTGACACGAATAAAACTGGTTTTTACGTAGCTTTAAGTGACTCGTCAAGTGCATTACGGGCCGCAATAAGAGCATCATCCGCAGCGTCGTCGACTAACAACCGATTAGCGATCTGTTCGAAGCAGCGTGACGCTTTAGGGCGCCAGTGCCAGAGGCTAGCAGAGGGAGAGAGCGAAACGGCGCTTTAGTTCCTTACACGAGTTATCGCCTTATATGTATCGATGAACAATTTCTGGTTGGATCGATCAGAGATCACGCAGAGCAACGATGTTACACGGCCTGGAAACCGCCTCTGATCGGCCACGGTCTTCCGCTTGTTATGTATGTGTTTTCTATTGATATACATATTTTAAAATAAATATCAAGTACTTCCAGTATGTCCACCAGCCTACACTTTTTATCCTTCACAAGCGCGCGAGCGATATTTAACAGTTACATTTAAAAAATCTTGAAATTAGCTTCCTAGATGGTCAACTTTTCCGCTTCGCCCGCGATACAAGCTCGGACCAAACGGCATTATATTTGCGATAACCGGAAAATTAATTGTGAATTAAGCAAATTATGGCGTCTAATCTGCTGACGAATCCCATAAAACTACGCTTCTACTTGGAAAGATACGAGAAGGAGAAGAAGCTAGTGAGCGTGCGAGAAACATTCGTGCCTACCACGCGAACGAAAGCGCTGACCGGCAAATTCTACGCGAAACATGACGTTCTATCTTTGTCGGACGTTAGAGAGGACGATATTAATTTGATAAAACGACGGACGGAGATGACGCCTAAAGAAGTGTATTCGTTTCGACCGCCGGCGGTGAATATGGAGTGAGTCGACAGACAAGTATGCAAATAAACTCGCAGTTGCAATAACAAATTGTTTACAATAGATATGGCTGGTTCATCGCGCCGCTAATACCCGTCACGAAGGACCCGAGGCTGCGCTTCTCCAGAAAATACTGCGATTTCATCGTGAACGAAGTGACGCGCCGAAAATTGCGAGGAGGCCTATCGGAGAAAAAATTCACCGGCGTGCCGTTTAAAACATAAAAAAAAAACATTGTGCTTTTAAAAATAAAGCATGTCGTCTGTGATTAAATTAGTTTAATGAGACTCGTAGCACTAATTGCCGTACCGGCTGAACTTGGGAGAGTTCGAGACATTGATTCGAGTAATGTTGTGCCGCTGTTTCCTGGCAACGAGCACTGTGGCAACTCTTTCGCAAGATGGCATAGATTTTTAAAGTAATGTACGTTTGCGTTTTCTTCGCCGTGGTAAGTCCGGGGAAATAAGATCCGAACGGTTGGGTCCGAGGCGAAATTCGTACGTAGCTCGCGTTCATTATGACAGCACCGAAGTGAAAGCGGGTGCAAGTTTGGCAATGACGCGCTGTTAACTATGCGTGATCGATGAAAATGTCATCAGACATGACGGGCCGGGCTTTCTGCGTTAAAGTACAGCTGCACGTACACGCGGTACGTATCGCCGGCTTCCAAATCACTCGTCGATTCTCCCAAGATTATTTACCAACGCAACGTGCGTGTTTCAGGTAACGTGTCCCGGCGTGTGGCTGTGCCCGAACGGCAAAGTGGCTCTGCGAATCGACACCCTCGACCGCCGCGAGGAATCTCGCCAAGTAAGCCCGATCTTTCCGCTCTTGTTCCACGACAGATTCACCTTCAGCAAGGTGTTCAGTCGGACGGTCTCCTTAGCGGAGCTGCAGCGCACCTTGGAGCAGGAGCTCTTGTACGCGGAGCTCATACAGTGGGTGACGCCGGGTGACCGAGGTATCATTATGGCCACATTCGAGACGAATTTGGCGGATCTGCTGTACCCCACGTCGTACTTCAAAGGTTTGCTAGCCGGAGTGGACGTGGATTTATTGATGGAGCCGACCAAGTGCTTTCCTGTACGTCTTTTACAATTCGCTCGATTTAAGATGAGACTACTCACTCCCGTCGTTTTTGCATCAGGGTATAATAGCACCGAAAATCGAGGTTTCCACCAAAACGGTAGTCGAGGAGGTGTTGGGCTCCTATGACACAAGTATAAGCAAATGTTATGTCGTCAATCCAAAAATGATTAACTCTAAGGTACTTTATAAACAAAGATACATAAACGCATGTGTCGTTTAATTCCGCTCTTTTGTATACTTGCTTGAGGATCGCAGGAACCTGCAATATGTCCTGCATATGAATCTATTTTTTCAGCAAACGACGTGCGGACAAAGGAAAAGGCTGGTGAAAGGCATTATAAGGCAACGAAGAGTGTGTCACACAAGAAACAAGCCGAGATCTCAAAGCTGCCGACCGTAAGTATCACTATATTAATAATTTTGACAAATTTTAATTTTAATTTTACTAAATTAAAATATATATTGTATATATATAAAATATCTAACTTACATAATTTTTTGTTGCGACAGATATTGTCAGAGATCATGTAGCGTGGACGATTATCATCAATGTTCTTCGTGCACCACGAGTAATCAGACGGGATCGCAGATTCACCAATGTTACCACTCGAGGAGAAGAGATTCCACACGCGCTCCTCGACCGAGTTTTTCGAAACTAGCCGCCACATGTGATGATATCCATGTTACGGACAATTGTCCAGTTTGTTTGAAGTACAATTGTTATTTTTCCAAGTGTTACGACGACTCGGACATAGCCGGGAGATTCGTTGACACTAAGCAGAGATATCGCAGAAATTTCTCCGACACTAGAGAGTACTGTTGTGTTTGTAGACCGAACGGCGTGTCAGACATGCGGGAAGAACCGACGAGGTGAGTTTCATTGAAAACGGATGAATTTCTTCAGCAATTTTACCGTTGTGTCGTTGCAGATTGGAATCCAAAGTCAGAAATCTTCGCAAAGCTAGAGAAAAATTGTGTGCTGCTGAAACTGCAGCGGACGAGTAAGTCGAATAATTAGCGTAAATGCATTTAATCGATTTAATATCTGAATTTTGAAAATACTATTTCAGCGTTGAGGAGTGCAATCCGAGCTGTAAATTCACTCGAGATCATTCAAGCCACGGGTTTTACAAGAATCTAGAAAAATTTTACAAAAGGATGTATAAGCAAGCGAAGATACGAGCGCAGGAAGTGAATGGTTGATGTGATAACTGTCGTCTCAAAACTCTCGAGTAACATATTTTGTATTATAACATTTTTGAAAAGTTTTGTGTATCGATTAAATGTTTTATACATGGCGTTTAACAGAATTTCACGCGAAGCTAATTGTGATTAATTAATATATATATATATATGTTGTAAGTTGTGTACAAGTGTTAATAGAGATCGTTCAATCGTTTTTCTAAGATATTGCAATGCATTTAATTAGCAGTACACATTTTTTTTCTTTTATCAAACAACAGGATACAAAATACGCATGAAAATTCTGTTCGTTTTAAATTTTCAACACCCGGCGTCCCGGAAAGTAGGTCGGCGTATCTCGAACTCGAGTGCCACGTAGAACGACGGATTTGATCAAAAGCGCCGGCGTTCTGAGATGCAAGCCGCGTCCCTGCGGGCTCCAGGCTCTCAATAAAGCGCGTTCGGCTTCCGCTGCGGTAATCGCGATCCATCCTTCACAATCAATATTAAAATTGTAAACTACAAGTGAAGGCAAATTCTTCATTCGCTGTAAGGATAAATTACCTGCGCTGGATAGAACAACATCAGCAGTCGATTGGTTCTTAGCGATGCCGGTGACTTCCATCTCTTTAGATCCTAAAGCCGGCCAATGTTTCAATCGCTCTGGATTGTTCTCAGGTACGACAAACGCTTTCGTTTCGAGTAACTTGGCATATATGTCGTCCGCATCCGCCGTATAAGTTACCGTCACTGGCAGCTCGCTACTTGCAAATACTGTACACCTAGACAAGATTGTGCGCAATCGTTTTAACATATTTTTCGATTTGTCATACTGTTATCGATTATCATCACGCGTGAGTAATAATAATAAACCTAATAAACACCTAATAAACTTGTTGCCCTCCAAGTAGTCCAGTCTGCCTATTCCACCCAGGAATATCGTTTGATTTGCGTGCAGAACAAAAGTTCTAGGCGAGATTATTTGCTTCGGCAATATCGTCAGAAGTTCCTGTGTCGTCAGTAAGTCTAAAACCTGATCCGGTTGAATGGTGCCGGGCGTGTCGTAACACCAGCGACTGTATTTGTATTCCTCTTTGTTCTCGTCGAAGCCGAATTGTTGTGGCTCGTATTTATTGTACTTTCCTTCCGAGAATGGATCGAGTAACACTGTAGTCTTGGACTTCGGTTGAAACGTTTTGCCAATGTGACCTAAATTTCGGAATGTAATGTTTATTTTCGCAAAGATTTCCAATCGATTATAAATGCAGTTGTGAGTGCGTTTACGTACTCTGCAATGTGGCGTATTTTAAATTGCGCGTCTGTTTGAACAGATCAATTCTGAACTCCTCCTCGGCTCGTTTATGTAATTTCTCTTCTCGCAGTCGCATTACTCTCATACCAAGTCTCCATCTGAGGGGATTTAGAATAGGGAATTTCAATACATTTAAAGTTGTGCCTGGCCAAGGTGAGATGGTCGCACGTTGTATAAGATCCACAGCCTGTACTTTGCAATAATCCGACTGTAGCAAAACGTTAAACAGAGAAGATTTCCCCACGTTTGTGCATCCGATCACGTAAACATCTCCTAAAAAGTATAATACATAAAGTGTGAAAAATAAATTCCTTCTAAATTAATTCAAATCGACACGCTTACCTTTGTATTTCCACAAATTGTGTAATTTATTTATGAGCTCCTCTATGCCATAGCCAGTTTTTGCAGATATGAGTTCTATGTGCCTGATATTTTTCTTGATTCCCACATTTTCTGCAGCCTGTAAAAGGCACTCTTTAACATGACTGAAGAATTTTCGCGAGTCCTGAGGTAGCAAGTCTACTTTGTTTCCCACTAAAAATACTGGTGTCATAGGATGCAGTACGCTGCTTATCTCAGGCCATATGCTGCATGGAAAATCCAAGAGGTCCACCATCAGAATGATGGCACACTTCTTCTTTTTTATCACCTTTAGGAGCTTCGGATATTCATCTGCAGATACTTTAACCTCCAATGTGGTGTTGTAATGCTTAATAAAGTGGCATCTTTGGCAGATCATAACTCGCAGCTTCTTCTCACTCTTGTTTAGAAACAGCTCTGATGGCAAATAGCCTGGTATGGCATGATCCTTGCAATGCAGCAATGCACCACATCCGCCACACGGAACAGAACTAATGCTGGAGTTTGGATCCGGCGTGCCGTAATGACTGAGCCACGTGTCATCCTGCAGATCATCATTGTACTGTTCGACATCAACCATCCAATTAGGTGGAACATTGGACAGATCTGTCTTGTATGATGTATCATTATTTGTTTCTTCCAGATAATCCTTTAGATCAAGCTCTTTTTCTCTGTCTGACATTGTATTCTTTATTGCCAAATACTTGTCGTACAAAGCTCTATACTTTTCGTTCAATGGTCTTGAGAGTTCATCAAAATCAATGTCATTTAAATTATTTTCAGACGTGTCTATGTTGCTATACCAATCTGTACTTGCGTACGGCATGTGTACAGGCCTCGTTACATCCTCTTTTTCTGCATTTGCATCCTGTATTTCTTCCTGCAAGCGGTTGTCGTTGTTCTCATTGTTCTTCGTGTCCAGGAGTATGCTGTAAGTAGGAACGTTTACAAGATGATCATATCGCATTTTTCTCTCGAAGTATTCAGTCTTTTTCTTCTGTATGTATCGTTTCATGTGACCTATTTTCACCATGTGGCCATCCAGATAATCGCAATAGATCAATTTCTCTCGTAGTGCCTCGATTCGGGGGTCGACAGGCGATCGAGCGGTATTCGGTCTCGTGTCGCATTTTGTTGAGTAACCGAAAGTTTGCACCAGGTTTTTGTATTTGTCGCGGTAGGTTTTCAAGTGACAGTACGTGTTACCTGCAGAATTCTTCCAAGTTAGATGCTTCGCGAAAATAAGTAACTTTTTGTTATTTACAAACATCGTAAACATAGAACATGCTTCAACCAGAAGATCATAACCTTGTGATTTTTTGAGGTTAGGTAAGTTGTGAGAAATTATGTTTGACAATGCAACCGAAGATTGCAGCACTATCAGCATAACAGCTTTGAGTAGCATTTACGAAGAGTTTTAAATAAATTTAATTACAAAATTTTTTTATTCGTATATTACATGGTTTGTTAATATTTCCTTTGTAAAGATATGAAATAAATATTAGAGAATAATTATTTAAAAATATTTCTCTAATATTTATTTTTATTGTACGAAAATATTTTGTTTTATTTTTTTAAAGATCAAAACATATCAAGAGACATAGTCATGCCACGTGCCAGTTCACGCGCAACGCGCAAAAGAGTGTTTATTTATTATTTATATACGTGCCGTGAGATTATTTATTATATAACATTAATGAAAATATTAAATGTACAACTAGAAATTGTGCAACAATTTTTATTTTTCCCATTATACAATTATCTCCATTAGAAACTTATATATCCTAAATGGCTAAAGTCTACTTTAGATAACCACGTATGACTTAAAGACATCTGACAGACGCCTAAAAGTAATTTTTTAAACATTTTTTAGATGCCTTTTAAATGTCTTCAAGAAATGCGTGCTGTCATGCGGGAATATACAAATCGCGATAGAAATCTATTTGCAATTGCAATATAGAAAACGTTTGAAATATTAGAATACGCATGTATACAAACAATAAATGTCATTTATATATTTTCTTTTACATAACAAATACGAATATTTCTTATTATATAAAATTTATTAAAATTAAGTAATTTTTCAACAAATCTTTGCTTAAATATATTTTCTTTTCAAATAATTTTGATTTGATTATTACTTATAACTAGACTATTAATAATTATTAATTATTTACTATTATGTATACATTATTAAGTAACCATTAATTAATATGCTATTAACTTGTTATTGATAATTATTTACATATCAATAATTGAAACTAGGAATATTATTATGAACTGATAGACCCTCATTTCGAATTGTATTGCAAATTATAAGTCAACAATTTAATGTACAAGTTAATTAATCAACAAACTTAACACAATTCGACAAATACAGTATACATATGTATACAGATGTATTTTGTTTTTAAGACGCTGTCTTGTCTAAACCTTGCGCTCCTCTGTATATTCAAATTCCTGCAACAATAATAATATTCATTTTTTTTTTTTTATTATAAATGATCTTTCTATGGAAAAAATGATGATTGACGGAAAAGTATATTTAATCTTTTCAATTATACGAGTATCATATGTGTAATGGCAAAAAATACTATTTTTATGCGTCGTCATCCATTTATTTAACGATCCGTTTACATAACTCGCTATTCATGAAGCATAGTCGTTATACCGCATGCAAAAAATAGATATGAATCGTTTATGAGTTGAGCGTCGCCACAAGTTTGCATAATCTTTTATCTGCGGCTACTGCATTATTTTACGCTTGTTTCCCGTATTTAGAGAATAATGACATACGTGAATGCGTCTTAACACACGAACACTTGAAATGTTACTCATGCAGGAGAAATAAAGAATTCTAAAATAGACGACGTTTATAACAGATCTACGAAATTCAATAATTCATTATAGATTGTTATCATGTGATTCAAATTAATTCAAATAAATATTAGCATACGATGCAAGTAAATCAATGTTAAATATCTATTTATTTTTATATTTGCATTTTTAAAATATTATTATTTGAAAAGTATATTTTCGAATTCTCCTTCGGCATTTTAGAGTTATCGCTCATTCGTAATGGCATCGCATATATCTTTCTTCAATATTCTAACAATTTTGTAGCGTATAAATTATTTCTTATTAATATTCGCCTGTGATATGAATAAATCGTACAGCATGAATGAATGCCATTTAATTAGAATCTCGTTTTCGTACTTTCAGTGCAGCTTGGACGATGACAATGGTGAGCATTCCAAGGCCGAATATAAGCAGAGTCGGTAGATACTTCATGAAAGGTATATTTCTTTTTTTGAGCAATAGTCTAAGAAGCGTCAGTTTCTTATCGGTGTAGGGTGGAAAACGGTTTCTGAAAAATATATATTTTCTGTTTAGATTTTTCAAAGAAGAAGAAGAGTGACATTAGTATAATATTTTAGAGTTTATAATATTTCGTAATTATTTGAGACATTTAAGAATCAGTTTGCTTACTGGCTGAGTGACTCTGCGACCTTGTTGTAATTTCGAATTAGACAACCTTTTTTATGTGTAAATGTGTCATATGAATATTTTCCATGATATGCTCCTATTCCAGAATGGCCTACTCCTCCAAAAGGTAGAGTCTCGACTAAAAATAGCAATGACACAAGTTAATATTAACATTAATCAAGAGAGATTATACTTTTTCTTTTTATGTTTCTTTTTATTACACTTCGCATCAATTTAAGAATCAAAAGCTTTACATTTATGTGCATATATATATATACCCAGCTACGCGTGTCTCTGAAAGATGCTTCGTCTAAAAAATGTTAGAAAAAAATGACCTTTTTTTGACGTTTACGCCTGTTATCTGGGATATACAATAATAAAACAAATTAATACTAATTTCTTCTATTTTTTTATGTTATTCATCAATCGTTAGTTAATTTATGTTGAAAGTTTTGCGTTAATATAAATAGAACTGATTAGAAATAAAGCAGTAATTAAATATTAATACCATACCTCAGTAAAACAACTACGTAATTTACGTGAATGTAGATCCATAAATTATTATATGGATGCAATATTCTTTTTTTCATCACTACATCGAAGTTTTAATCTCGAAATGTTAATGTAGATTTTATGTGGAAATTTCTACTACATAATGATTGATCAATCAAGGTACATCAATTGTTGTGTTTATCGCAATGTGATTGAATAAGAAAATATTATATTCTATATCCAGTGAAAAATACAGATCGAAAAAACATCTAATAGACATCTTATAGACGCCTATAAATGTTCATTAGATTCAATAATAAAGCAACGTTTATTATTCACTTGATCCATATGTATTCCATGCTGATCCACATGGCAATAATGGTGGATTTCATTGTTTCTGTATTGTTTTTGTCGGGTAGTGTATTATAATCCAACAGAATCACAATATTTAATACAAAGCAATATTAGTAAAAGAAAAAGCAAGAATAGATAAAAAAGCATAATTTTGCAATAATTATAAGAAAAATTACCTGCGCAATGTAATATCGTGTCATTGACAAGAGCATTACCGCTAGATGTTTTGTTAAGGAACGTCGATATAATTTCTTTGTTCTGGCTGAATATGTATAACGCTAATGGCTTCTCCCTGTGATAAATAATGATTGACTATATTTTATTATTGATATTTATTATTATGTTTCTAGGTAGCACATGTTTGTTTTATGTACATTCCCTAAATGTATATGAAACCACTGGATACGTTTAGAGAACGTATATAAAACGAACATGTGCTACCTGAGTTTTTAGTAATTATAATAGTTATTTATATTATTATTTAATTATTAATGAGTGATAATCATATCACTCTTTTTACACGCGGAACATATTTATACGTGTTGAATAAAATTTTATTATTCCTAATGATAAAAAAGTAAAGATATGCGGATAATTAAAACGTTATAAAAAAAAGTTGTGTAGTTACAGAAGAAAACATTTTAAATTGTAAATTTAGAAATGTTTTCGACATTTTAAAAAGAATATAAATTAATTTTATTTTTTAAAATAAATTTTCTTGTGTTTAGTTTTTCGAAATCGAGTAATTGCGCTTACCTGCTTTTTATGAATTTAATTGCTTCATTCGCATCGTTAATATTGATTATAGGCAATATCGGTCCGAATATTTCTTCTTGCATAATAGGATCTGTTTGTTTAACGTCGATCAATATTGTGGGCGAAATATATTTTTCCTTCGGATTCACATTGCCGCCGATAGCAATCTTGCCGTTGCCGTTTAAAAAGTTAACAAGCCGGCTGAAAATAGAAATAATCGTTTCATTTAATTTGCTCGATGATTCAAGGACAATTTGAATAGCAAACGTTCGCATATTAAAATAAAATTGTAAATGAGCAGATTAATTATGGGCAACGTTGGTGTGTGCAAAACTCACTTGTAATGCTTGTCTGAGATTAAGCGCGCCAAATCGGCACTCATTTCCGGGTTTTCGCCGTACCATTCCTTCAGGATCTTCCTCGCTTCCTCTATAAATTTATCTTGCACTTCGGGCGTGCACAAGATGTAATCGGGAGCGATGCAAGTTTGACCGGAATTGACGCATTTTTCCCCACATGATGCGTTTCGCCGCCATCGTCATGTCCACTGTGTTGTCTATATACACAGGGCTGCAAGTGGTCGTTTGTTATTTTCATTTATAATTTTACAATCAAAATTCCATTCGCACATTCCTGATATTATTTACCTTTTACCGCCTAATTCTAACGTAACAGGCGTGAGATGCACATTGGCAGCGTCCCGTACGATTTTCCCAACCGTAGTGGATCCGGTATAAAAGATGTAATCATAGCGTTGCTTGAGTAACTCCGTCGTTTTCTCGATTCCGCCTGTTACTATATGATAACATTCCTGTTCGCAAAAAGAAACGGTCGGTTAAGGAGCCATTCGTTGTGCAATACCTGAATACATAATATGCGCAAGTGGTCGTTCCTTAAATTAAAAGAGAATACGACAAACAAAACTTGAACATTTACTTCTTTTTTGTGGCTACAAAAAAAATTGCGAACTAATAATCGTAGACCAGTAATGTGAGGTTTGATGAAACAGGAAAGAAAGTGGATTCTCTATTTTTCAAGATCGATAGTTGTCGCGTGTCGAATGCTATCATTATGTTTCTGACAGGACTCAATTTCGTCCATTTAATTTCAGCTTCATTTGTCAAGTCATCTAGTTTCTTTAATATGTTAAAATATAACTTATATAAAATAGATATATTTATGCACCGTGTCCATGTATTTCGGGAAATTTTCAGACAAATATTTCGACGTAGCCATTGACATCTCGGACGGCTTTATGATCACGCAGTTTCCAGCCGCGATAGCGCCGACCAGAGGCAATAGAGATATTTGAATGGGATAATTCCACGTGCCGATGATCAGTACGACTCCGTAGGGGTCGTTGCGGATTTCCACCGAGTCGAAAAGATTCGCCAGTCCCTTCGACGGCTGCAAGATATCGCATTTCAAATAGCTGCTTTCGCAAATTGTGAGTCTCTTTAGAAGTTGTCATATCCAGTAACAGTTACCTTGGATGTTGCTGACCATTCCTTAATATGCGCGAGCGTATGAGTGATCTCCTCGAGTATGTAGTCGATTTCCGTAAGAAATGTCTCGAACTTATTCTGACAAATATCATCGACCAAAGATCATCGTCATAAACAACTTCAAGATAACATATGAATCATTACACGTTCTTTGTATATGTTGTTACCTTACGTAAGTCTGATGCTACCGCAGCGACAGCATCTGCAGAGGTTTCTCTCAACATACGAGCTAATTGTTTTAACTGCCCAATTCTCCACTCTATCGGCCTCGTTTTTCCACTGTCAAATGCATCCCGCGATCGCTGAAGTAACTGCAATAATTTCACATTAATTCAACATTTTTGGAATGAATAATTAAAAGTCGAACGCACGATCGATTCTACACAGAGAACAATCTGCAAAATAGTGAAAGTGGAGAAAATATCGTACGCTTAAAGGCTTTATAAATTACAGCCGTCACATTGAAATAAGCAAACGCTTTGAAAAAAATAATAAACTATTTTTCAAGCATTTTGCAGTAAGATGATTTTTATTCGTTGGCAAGGATTGCTGCTATCAAGGAAATCTGCACATTGCTCATTGATGCAAAGTTCTCGGCGTTTTAAATCATGAGTTAAGGTCACAATTAATTTTACTGCGCAAATTAATATAAAACATCGCTCGGAAACCTTTTTTTCACTAAGTCGTTCATATTGTACTGATCCGAGCTCGAGATAATATCGACTTTTGACCTAAAGATACACTCAAACGGCTTGAATGTATTATTATATGTATTGATGTTATCTCTTTTTATTTAAATTGTGCTCATTGTGCATGCATATTATGCATCGTTCGTAAATGTCTATACAATGTCAAAGGTTGTTTTTTTTTTTTCTTAAACGCGTTATATTCCGTTTTCGTTCCATAAAATTTATAATTTTGTTTTCAATATCCTTTTTCACAGTGTGAAGGTGGACCTTCAAAACTTAATTATTGGCAATGAATGAAGATTTGTGTGAAGGTAAACGACATAAAAGGCTGTTATTTTTTCGTAATCTGCTATTTTTACTTCAAACGCAAACTGTTTTTACTTTTATTTGTAATTCATTAAATATTTAAAAATCTACACATTATAAATTAACCATTGTTCGAATTGTTTAAACTGCTCGAACTAGGGTCAAAGGTGGTTTTCGGGTGGCCTCGCCACCCGAATATTTTGTACGAGACCCGCTTAAAATGACTGTTCCCATGATGTAGCCAAACAATAGTAGCTTAAGTTCACTGCCATTCAACGTTAATACAAAGGTTTTCGTATGTAATTACATTATGTAATATCGCTTATTGCGCACAATGTAACTAGACTTTCCCTTGAGATTTCTGAAATTATTCTTAGAAACCTAATCGTTTCGATTCCAATTTTTCTTTTTGAATATTCTTTATACATAAATTTGTTATAAAGATCGCAGAAATCAAACTATAATCGCAAAACGTGATACATCAAGGTCGAACTGTTTTTTCATGCGCAAGCCAAAAACAGTTTTTTGTTGCGTCAACAAAATGAAAATATTTATGTAAAAATCACGTTTTAAAATTAATTATCTTATCTGTAACTGGTGATACGTGATCACATATTTACTTTCGGCTCTTACAATGAGCACTCGCTGATATACATTATAATTATACTACGTTATCAAAAATATTTTTGTTATTTACGAACGACAATATCAAACAGCTTTTAATTAATATTACACAATATTTTTGAATATATTTTTCTCTTTATCTTTATCAAGAAGAGATAGTTTTTAAAATCCATATAAGAGAAAACCGAGGATAGGCTCGTTTAAGATAGGATAGTTTTTAATGATGATATTAGTATTAGCGTGTTTGTGGCGTGTATACATTATCTACTCCGGAAACGAATGTTGTAAGAATTTTCTCTAATTTACAACTTGTAGAGAATAAAACTCGAATAACGTTTATATAACGTTATTTTGATATTCTGTGTTTTAATTGATTCTTTCAGACAAGGTAACGAAAGTAAATTCAAGGTAACGACAGTAGTAGGGATTTTCTTATATGGCACAATTGTATCAATGTACTTACATCGGCATAATTTAAGGACACTTGCTTGTCACTTAGCGCTGAAACATAAATTTTTTGTCACCGTGTTACTTATTAAAATGCAGAATACGCACAATGAAAACAAGAAAAGACGAAATAAAGACGAAATAAAAAAGAAACCTTAAAACGCGTGCGTTTTTCTTGAAATAAATTCTTATTTTCCAAGTATTAACATGTAATGAAATTTAATTCTCCAATCAACTATAAGTAATTTTTATTTTAATGAGTTGTAATAATTTTTCTTTTAACAAAAACTTAATAAAAAAATATAAAAATTGCAAGAGCAACGTCGTTGCAAATATTAAATCGTTGTTTTAATCGTTTTAAACATCACTCGAACATAAAATTACAGAACACATATTAACGAAAAAATTAACGAGAATTGCTGCGTTAGAATTACGAGGTAAAAATCCAAGCGCGTTTAATTGAAATTGATGGCAAGGTCTCACCCATCGCGAGCACTTGAGCACTTCCTATCACACTGATAAACCGTTGTCGCGCTAACGAAAGACGAGACTGAAATCCGTCCGTGCTTGCTTGGGGATCGCGCGTTACACACTCGGCTGTCAACTGTAGCGTGAGAGAGCAAAGTGTCTATGTAACTCTGATTATATCCACGTTCTGAGAAAGAGAGAGGGGCTACGGTCGGAATCATACACAACAAACTATTCCGCTCTGGCAAAGTTGTTATACGAAAGGTCACTACGAGGTCTGCAATGTCTGTGTTACAGATAATTAACTTAAGATACATTAATTAACAATTTTTCTGGAATATGGAAAAGTTTTCGAATTGCAAAATTTCCGGTGCTGCTCAACTAAGTGATATAAATATCACTTAATTTATATGAACATTTTAAAGCATTATTTAAACGGACGTGTGTTCTATTTTTGCATAAATGTTATTTTTCTTTGGTTTCTTATTTGTAGTTATCAGCGAGTGAGCAATATTGCAAATTTCTTATTTGTATGCAAAAATGATATTCATAAATGATATCTCTTTACTTTATTGCAGCTTTGTTTATATAATTGAGGAAAACTGAATTTCCTTGAGCATTATTTTTAATCTGAAAAAAATTAAATTGGAAAACAGTAAAATAATTTATAATCAAGTAGTTTAATATATGCAAATCATTTTGTTTGCATCGTGATGTTGCGAGAATTAAGAAAAAAATTGAGAAAATATAAAGTCATTGCTTGAAGTGACATTTCAAGCGACAACGACAGCGATAAATTATTGTACAATTATAAAAATGCATATAAAAATAAATAAAATGTACTGCGTTAAAATTATATGATTTTAAACGTATATAAATAATAATTTATATATAAATGATATAAATTATATATAAAAAATATAATTTACATATAAATATATATGAATAACAATTAAAAAAAAAATATATATATTTTTTCAAATTTTTGTTTATTACATATTCACTAAAAAAAGTACAGAACTCACGTGAGTTCTGTCGATAAATGGATCAGTACAAAATAATAGCGCAATAGAGAGATAGTCACGATTACGTATAAAACAACTGACGCGTTATGAAACGCGGTGAAAGTAGAAAGAACGATAAATGCAACACTTGTACATGCAGTAACCTTATTTATTTATTTGATATATGATCGTACAGATAGAATGTTCAATATATTTTTCGAATATACATACAACTATTCATCCGTAATACATAATCGGACTCATCGGACACGAAATTCAGATACTCGACAGATATCTTACGCTGCGCGCAAGGGCATAATAATGATAATTACGGCTTATCGATAATACGAAATATACAGTCAACATTCAGTCGAAGAGTAGTTTTCGTTCGTTATCGCGAAAGAGCTCTTCAGTGTCGTATTAAAACGTTTTCGTCTTCCATCTGTGTATCTTTTTCTATTATTTATTTGGCATTTTTGTCTTTTATTCCTCGCTTTTGTGCAGCTTCTGCGCGTGACATCGCAAAATGGCAATGGAAATATGTCGTTTCTTTATAAAAAAAAAATCTGTTGGACATAAAAATAATTTGAAACAACGCAAATATTTGAAAAAAAGTGCCTAAAAGACGTCTGAAGAATATTTAAAGTCTGAAAAATTAGAACGTCTTTTAAGCGCTTTCGTACGTTGCATTATTTAGGATGCTATTATTATCATTTAAACTAGGCACTCCTCTTTGCGATAAAAAAAAGTCATTGATTATTAGTAATAAGAGGTAATTAGTGCCGGTAATTCGTATTAAATTCGACTTTTGATAGAGATACCGCCTGGTCCTGAAATATTTCTTAATATTTCTTGTTGGAGTACGTTTTACAACAACCTTCGTATATTTTTATCTTCAATCATTTTTATCCTCCTCACTTTCCTGGAATATTTCTTTATTTGTTTTCATGTCGTTTATTAATTTGGTGCGTGTCACACGACTCTTGGTATATGCTTGCAGTCTTGTAAAAATCGTTGACATTTTTTTATCTTCTCGTCTCACTTTGTTCTCTCTTTATTCTTTCCATATTTTATCTAAATCGAAAGATACGTAGGATGTGTGCAATCGCATCAGTCTGCAATATGATCAGATAGGATTATATTTTCAGTTTCTAAGTGTATCATCTGATTTATTTTCTATTCACACGTTCGAAATACGTCCGATTTCTTTTTCATTTATTAACGACGACGTCGAAGAGTCATTCATTTTCGAATTCGCTTAATTTTTCTTTCTTAATTCTATTATTAACGACTTGGTCAAAGGATACCTTAAAAGTCAACCGATGAGCAATCGGCATCGCTCTTGGCAAGGTTCTTCTAGCCTTAAATGACGCAGTATACAGTCTTTCAGACAACAGTCGCGCATTTTACATAAAGACGTTATCCAAGGTGGACAGGTTTTTTCTAGTGGGAGTCGAGGTGACGCCGCAGTTCATCCCCTCGTCCTCAAACGTCACCATCTTCTCGCGACTCCTGGTGCCCGTGTTGCAGCCGCCGCCGTCCAGCAGCCGCGTCTGGCTGGTCGTGGAGATTACGCCGGCGGCGGCGACCGACGGCGTGATCGTCAACGATGGCTTGAGCACGGACGTCGGAGGCGGCGGCGGCACAGCAATGTCCGTCACGGCAGCCGCGAGGTTGAACTCGCTAACGCTGCGCGGCACAAAGTACTCGAAGTGCAGCGAGCTCTCCTGCTGGCAATGCTGGTGATGATGCGGCGACTGTTGCTGTTGCTGCTCCTGCTGATGATGATGGTACTGCATCGGCGACAGGCAGCTTCTTCTCGTTGGCTGGGCCCGTTGGAATTGCTGCTGCTGCTGCTGCTGTTGCTGCTGCTGCTGCTGAGCGCTGACGCTCGAGGACGACGAGTTGGCCGTCGTCCTGCCGGCGGCATCTAGCGGCAGAGTCTTCTTACGCGGTAGCGTGTGATGGCCGGGCGACAGCTTCATGGCAGTGTTAGACGAGTGGGCCAGGAGCTTGCAGTCGCCGGGGCTCCTGGCCTGGTGCTGTCAGGAGCCGGCCGGCACCATTGACATGGCGATCGCCTCCTCCTCCTCCTGCTCGGACAGCCGCGAGTCGCTGGTGCCGGCGCCGTCGTCGTCGGCACTGAGACCAGGGGTCGCGACTCCTGTAACGGGAAACAGAGGGGAAGATCACGCGTGACTCCTGAACGGCCGGTTCAACGATCGGTCGATCGCGTGTGATCGCTAATTCTCTTCGATTCTCGGCTCTGCGGATGATCCCCGGATTCCTGCGATTTCGCGGTCTTGACATTTTCACGCGCAACGACAACACCGGCTTACTGGTCTCTTACGTAACGTGAATGAACGGTGCGTTCAGAAGACAAAACGCGCAACGTGCTTCAATTACGCCCGACTGATGTACATATGTCAGTATACGATGTATTCGAGACTAATTAATCGTTACGGGACAGGTGTTGTATTTTCTGAACGCGACCGACGCGCGACGGTCGACTAAACAATCAATGCTTCGCAATGCTCTGTTTTTCTCTTTTTTTTTCTTTGGAAGAGTGGAAGATTTCCACTGTCGATTCCCCATTGAATTGCCTTCATCAGGGATACCTGTACCACCGATAGGTCCGACCATCACGCCCGACGACATGTCGCAGGTTCTACGGAAGGCCCTGACCACGCGTACCACCTCCTCCTGGACGAGGTTGAAGCACATGGCGATCAGGCCCATCCCGGCGAGGATGTAGAGCGAGCAGGCGCACAGGCTGAGCTCCTCCAGGATCGCCGTAGGCGCGTTGCGGCCCATCGGTATCAGGTCGCCGAAGCCGATCGTGACGAGGCCGGTGAAGCAGAAGTAGCCGCTCTCGATCAGGTTCCAGCCCTCCAGACGGTTGAACATGATCGCGCCGCCGCATATGTACACCAGCATGATCGCCAGGCACAGGCTGATCGGCACCCGGACCCGGTTGGCTTCCAGGATGTTCGCCGGCGACGAGATCGACGACAGGGACAGCGAGCACGAGTGGAAGTGCCGCTGGCCGTTACCCGTTACATCCTGACGTCGACCAACGAGAACGGATTTAATAGAAATGTTTTTCGCCATTAAACTAATCTGTTGAAAAATCCTCTTTCTACATCAAAGTCAAGATGTAATCAATCTATAATTGTGTACAATTTCCGAATTTTTAGATTGAAAGTGCTTTGTGAAATTTTGCAGATTTTTTCTCACAACAAAGGTGCTCTTTTAACAGTGCTTTTTAATTTAATCATCAGTAGTAATTAATCGCGGTATGGAATTCTGTGTGTTAATCAATTAGCATTTGTTTTTCAGATCAGAAATAACCTGTTAAATAATCATGTAAAATTTTGTATAAAGACATGAGAAAAAGAGGAAAGTGCAAATCATACTTGTAGATTTAAAAATTGCAGAAAACAAGCGCCAGAAATTTTCGTTAATTTTGTTTAATTTTTAGACAGGAAACAAAGGAACGATGTATCGCTTCTTGATCAGTCAACCGATTAATTAATTCTGAATTTGCGATACCATACAATGTTAAGATCGTTCCGCTTCGTTAAGATGATTTCTAAATTGGAGAAAGCGAAATCAGCTAAACGATTACCTGAAGCGCAGCCGTCGAGCTGGTGGTAGCGTGCAGGAGGCCTTCGCTGCCGCAGTCGAGCAGGATCGCGCTGGCGGTGCCGCGATTGCCCAGATCGTCGCAGGAGCTTTCTCTACTCGCCGAGTAGTAATTGCCGGTCGTCTTGGTGGCTTCTACGTGGTTGTCGTAGCGATACGCCTTGCCCGGCGGCGGCGGCGGCGGTGGCGGCTGCTGGTTCCGCGTGTAGTCGCGCGGTCGCCTGCACATACGTCCGTACAAACGGCGGAAGTTCCGCGCGAACACTTCGCCCACCGTGCTCAGGTAGACCAACAGCAGCGGAATCCCCGCCAGTGCGTAGACTATCGTAATCAGCCGGCCCCAGACCGTGCGCGGTGTTACACTACCGTATCCTATGGAAAAATACCAAGGACGTTATTTATGGAAATGAGTGCGTCATCTTCGAGACTAATTATACACAAGTTAATAATGCATAACAGGTTTTGCTTGTACTCGATTATGCAAACTATATGCAGGATTATAGATATGTTTATTTAATAAAATATAGAGTACAGTTAATAACAGGATACGTCTTTTCCTTACAGACGTTCGCTCGAGACTGACTTTTCACTCATTTCTCTACGCACTTTTATACCCTGACGAGTAATAACATAAGAGAAAACCGAGATTGTTCGTCGCGGACCGTCAAAAGAGACATCTACTTATAATTATGTCGATAGACGCCGCGACCGGAAACATAAAAGGAATAAAAGAAATAAAACATTAGACGACGGATCGATCTGTCAGCAGCGGATCAATAGATCCCACGTATACAAAAATAAAAATAATTTCCTTTTCTTTTATTGAAGCAATGTGTCGTGTAAAAATTAAATGAACCAAGCGTAGAAATGATTTCCAGAAAAAAATCTGAATGATAAAACGAAAAATTTGATGCGATTGATTGTGATTTGCACAAAATAATTTTTTTTCTTAGGTTGCCTTCCCGTCACACCGCATATTGGTGGCTTAACTTTGTTCTGTTCGAATGAATACAAACCTATGGTCGTGATAAGCGTCAGGGAGTACAGTAGGCTACCGCTGAAGGTCCATCGTCGACTGTGCGGCCGTCTGTCCGCGTGATGAGACCGTGGCGGCATCGGCGGCACCTGGTCGTACGATGAGGTGCGCTTGAGATTGAGACCGCGGGCCAGATTCTCCTGGAATTCAAGGACTTCTCGGGCCGCCAAGCGAGTCCAGTTCTCCTTGTAGAGAACGTTCAGATCCTCGGTGATGCTCCAGAGCTTCTCGACCGTGCGCGCCCTTAATTCCATCGTGGCGGAGTCGTTCTCCAGATTCGGCAGCACATAGGCAGCACTCTCGTCGGGTTTCGAGGACGTGACCTCGGTAGACGAATCCTGTACGAGCGTTATAAATCTTTCATTATCATCTCAATCCTTATCGGGTAATTAGCGCATCGGCGCACGCATGAGTAATTTTGGATGTTAATTTTGGCATCAATTCCTGACCAATTATTTTTGAGCGACATTAAGTGCTTTAATTTTAATTAGAATTTATTCTAAATCAGGAATTAAATCCGAAGAAAAATTCAAGCCGAACCAGCGAGTCGACAAACGTCAATCAATTGCTCCAAAATAAATATTAATGGCGTTAATATGCTCAATTCTTTTCTCTGCTTATTTTGTAATCAGAATCGAGCAGATGACAGAGCGAAATCAATCTGGAGATATAATCAACTGTGATTCGCTCACCGATTTGAAGCCTCCCTCGAGGGCCATGAAGGCGAACGCGCCAAGCAGGGTGTAGCCGAGGACGAGCATGCACATGCCGAGGCACATCAGCAGCCCCGGCCTCTTGGCGGATGTGGCGGTGCTGCAGCTGCAGCAGTTGGCGCTGTTGCTGTTGCCGCCACCGCTGCTGTTGTTCCCGCTTCTGCCTGGACAGCA